AACTGAGGAGAAGTTACTGTTAATGATACTACATAAACTTGCATTTCACAATCACTATTGTATCTATAAAGATTTGAGAAATTATAAAGAAATATATTATTCAGTCTGAGGAGAATGCTGGGTAATGCATTCCCAAAATGTCTCTTGCTTGAGAAGGTAAACCCTCACCTTAGAATTTTAAGGAGTGGTCAATAAGACATTGTGCTCCATTTCTGGAACCTTTATAGCACCTTTCATATAGTTGCTACTCAAAAAATTCGTGACCTGAGCCTGAGTCTTGGAAAAGCCATGGTAGAGCTGAGAGCAGGGGGTAAAGGCTAGACCTTCCCAACCTTGCAGCAATTGTCTTCAGAATGGAATGTCACATCTCACCCCACCCCACCTTCAATTGACACAGCTCTCCAGGGATGAATTAAACCCAAGAAGAAGGAAAAAAATCCAAACCTCTTAACACAACAAATATTGTTTGAGTAGCTCCCATGTGCTAGCTGTTGTCCTACGTAATTGGGGCATATCATAGAACAAAACAAAGACCCCTGTTCTCATGGAACTTACAGTCTACCATTTATTACCATTTTACTTACATCCTGTCTGTGACCCTGGGCAAATCACCACACTGCTGCACCTCTGCCCTCAGCTGCCTAGTGGGTGAATAAGCAGGCCTATGGGCAATGTGGCTGGTATACTGAGTATGCTACACAGATTCCCACCCCGCAAGACTCCACCAAGCAATAGATAGGGTTGGATCTTTGATATAAAAGACAATTGGAAAGATGCAGAGGGTTTTGAGCTTTGTTATCAGGTGGCTGTGGTGGAGTGGGAGGGACCTGTACTGCCTTTGGGCTGGGCTGGCTGTCTAGCCTATGGTACTGTGTGGCTTTTTAGTGGTTGCCTTCCTGGCAAGACCCTGTCCTTCTCTGCTGCTGTCAGTGCCATCTCCTGGGCCTTCTCCTTGGCTAGCTCAAAAGTGTTTTGGGAATTTCTTCATCTTGAGGATTTGGCCAGGATAGATCCAATACTCTTCATAGGCTTGTTCACATTGTTTTAGAACCTAGAAGGACTAAATTCCAGAGCAGATCTAGAGATAGCACGTCTAGTGATATCAAAATCAATAAATAAATGCACATACACACGCACTCCAAAACAAAAACAAAAAAGCTACAGGAGGCCAGACTTCCTGGTGGGTTTCAGTCTAGCAGCTCTTCTGAGTTCCCACAGTGAACACATTACTCCTTTATGATTAGCAGCAGGGTGTGGTTGATGTTCCAGGCAAAGATGGTCCTGGTTGGATTCCGTGGGTCCATAGCTGAGTCTCCAGCTCATATACCAAGTGAGCAGCACTACCCAGAAGCAGTTTCTCTGTCCAGCGTGGTCTCCTGTTGGTCTTGGTCAGGAGCCTCAGGGACAGGAGCTTCCCCATAGGGGTCATCTCCCCGTGCGCTAAGTCTTTGACCAGAACACATTTGCTAGAAACATTCAGGCACTGCTGCACAAGCCAGTGAACACTTAGTTCCAGTAATTCCATGCAAGCTCTGGTCAAGAAATACTTCACTACTGCCACATTTGAGGTATAGCATCAGAGTACAGAGACCAGGTGCAGGTGAAGCCAGGTCTGGCACATTCCATGCTCTAGACTATCACTACCACACGGCAGCAGTTATTAGGCTGCATCAGGCCTACAGAATAAGCCCTACATGTCATGGGCTCTGCAACCATTTATTCAGCAAAATGAAGACTGAAAAACACTTGGAAAAAATTGCATCTGTACTGAACATGGACCAGTGTCTCCTAAACCATACAATGTAACAACTATTTATACAGCATTTACATTGTATTTGTTCTTATAAGTACTCTAGAGATAATTTAAAGCTTAGGGGAGGATTTGTGAAGGTTATATGCAAGTATTATACAATTTTAAATAAGGAATTGAGCTTCTGCAGATTTTGGTATCCAAGGGGGTTTTAGAATCTATGCCCTAAGCGTACGGAAGGGATAACTATTTCTTGCTTTGTATTCAGGGGCTGAGAATATGTACAGAAAGGGACTTTATGAGCAGAAATGAAAACTGACAGTCTTAGAGTTAACTCTGTCATGAACTTTTGGTTTCTTTAAGGAAATTCAGACCACTGAGGGTAATATATTACAGTCTTCCCTCCCCCCCTGCCCCACCCCAAGGAAACAGATGCAATTAGAAAAGCAAATGCCACATCTCTAGCAAAATCTATGGCATCATATTTTATTTCAGAACCAAACATGGAGCTAACCAAATTTCAATGGGATATCCAAACTATATGCAGTTAAGAGCTGGTTTAATTAAAAAAAAAAAAAAAACCTCTGGTGATAGATATGTTGTATTAGGCAGCTTTCTGACACTGACAAAATACCTGAGACAATCATTTTATTTGGAGGGAAGGTTTATTATCAGCTGTGGTTTCAGAGGTTTCCAACCATGATTGCATGGCCTCATTACTTTGGGGCCTGTGGCGAGGTGGAACACCCTGATAGGAACACTCATCAGAGGAGGTTGCTTCTCCTGGTAGCTGGTAAGCAAAGAGAGGGGAAGAGACCAGACCTCCCATTAGGCTCCAACTCTTAAAGGTTCCTCCACCTCCCAATAGCACTGCAGGTTGGGGCCAAGACCTTAACATGTGGGTCTTTGGGGAACACTTATCCAAACCATAGCATATGCTTACATTCAAATCTTGCCACCTTCTCAGACAAATTTAATCTTTAAGTTTCAGTTTCCTCATTTGTGATCTGCAACTATTTCTTTCTAATGGTGTGATGCTTCAGTAAATTAGCATATAAAGATTTGGGCTTTCACAATTATAGTGGCAAAAATTAAGAAACCTGTTCCAAGCAAGGCTGGGGATATAGCTCAGTGCATATGCAAGGCCCTGGGTTCAATCTCCAGACAGAAAGACAGACAGACAGACACACACACACACACACAAAACCAGAATGTTCCAATAAAATACGACAATCATTCAAAATTCAAAGGTCATAGTTGCAAAAAAGTGGGTTCTTATGCTGCACAGAATCCAATTTCTATCCATTGCAATAGGCATGTTCTAAGCTTTCCTTACAGATAGAAACTCTAGGAAATTAGAAGGGCAAATACAGAGGGGTCTGCATGCTATCCATCCCACATGTATATACTCATGGGTGAGAAAATTAAGGAACTGATTTTTAGAACAAGTGATTTGTTTAAAAAAAAAAAACCATGATTTTTAAGTGAACCACTTAGCCAAATTTCTGATGGGTAGAAGCCATACCGATGTTCAGTTTTTCTTCAAATCAGTTTTAAGCAAAGTGACTTTGTCTCTTTGAGTAAGCTTGCGCAGCAATGGAATTGGGCCCATGTTTTTTAAAGTGAGTGGACACTTGCTTAGAGTTCAAGGTAATCTAGCTGTCTATTAAGATGGAACCTCATAATGATGATGTCACAGAAACCAACTCATGGCTCATTCTCTAGCAAAGTGTCAATATCAGACTTTTGCTGGACATCGTGTTTATATTCAAGGGTCACAATTAAATGTGAAAAGGCACAACTGAATATGCAAAATGTCCATATGTATAAAAATATCACCTGTGGGTTTTTCTTTTGGGCAGCACTGGGGTTTGAACACAGGACTTCAAACTTGCTAAACAGATGATCTACCACTTGAGCCACACCTCTAGCTCTTTTTGCTCTGGTTTTTCTGGAGACAGGGTATTGCCTTTTGCCCAGGCCAGGCTAGACCATGATCTCCCTATTTATGTTTCCTCCTGTCATTGGGATGACAGGTGCATGCCATCATACCAGCTTTTTTTTCTGTTGAGATGGGGCCTTGCAAACTGTTTTTGCCTGGGCTAGTCTAGAACTGTGATTTTCCTGATCTTAGCTTCCCAAGTAAGAATTACAGGTGTTAGCCACTAGTATCAGCTCACTTGTGTTTTAATAGGTTCTGTAATATACATTTTTGGTGCCAAGATTTGGGGAGAATAGGCTTTCAAAGTCATTTCAAATATTAAAAATAAACTGGGTTTGGAGAGAGAAGAAAGATGGGAAACTAGTGTATTTTTAATGCAAAAATCTGTTAGGTCTATTTTCAGAGAATCTGTCTCTTTTTCCTGTGCAGTCTCCTCATATAGATGTGTTTAGAGATATTCCACACTATTAAAACATTGTGAAGTCACAAATTCACTCATAGTTCAATTCAGATATGCAAATAAATATATTTCCTCTCTCTTGCCTAAATTCAATCTGGTCTTCTTGATTTGTGGTTAATGCAGAGATTTTTCAACTTTTAATGCTATCTTGTTTTAAAGCTTTGTCTGATCAAATAATGTACGTAGTGTCTTTGGAGAATACCTTCATGGAAAATGTGAGATTTCTTTATTACAGTGAGTATATGATACAAGACCCCAGACTTGGCTGTTGTTACTATACAGAGGCTATAAAATAATTTCAGAAAACCCTAACTCAAAGCAAACCCCCAGATTTCAAGCTTGTAACCAGTATGCAAAATCCTATTTTGCCTGTCAGAAACTGTGGTAGTTATTGCCATCCACCAAAAAATTACACTTTTCCTTCCAAGCACATGATAGTAAGTCACTGCTCTGCCCTTTTGAAGTTACCCGTGACCAGTGACTTGCTCTGGGTAATGAAATTTTAGTCAACAAGTAGTTTGCCATTCTCTTTCTGCCTTAGCAACTGGTAATGTTGCCAGATTGTCACTTTGAATCCCAGAGTGCAGACAACATGGAGTTAGCTCTCAGCAACTCTAGATTCTCATAGAATGAGCGAGTAAGAAATAAACCTGTGCTGAGTTAAACCTCTGAGATTTAGGTGGGGTAGGTACGATGGCGCCTATTAACACAGTCAAATACTAATTTCCCCCCAAATAGATGGGTTCCATAGCCAATTTAGGCAAATATGTAATTAGGACAAAAAAGAAATGTGCTTTAATAACTTGTAAAATGAATTCCTGTTACAAGTATTTTTTTCTGTGTTTCAGATGAAGATCTTTGACAAAAATAAAGATGGTCGACTGGATCTTAATGACTTGGCAAGGTGAGTAGCATGAAAATGCTGTCGTAGATTCAGACACTCCTTTTTGAGGTCTGATGACAAAACATACCTCCTTTTAAATCAGAGATCCAGTGTCATTTGGAGTCCAAAAGACTGGGTGCAACTTACCAAATAAACTGCACTCATTCTGCAGCTTTTGAGGTAACAGATCTCTGAAAATATTGAAAGCTCTTTCTTCCAAATGCGTAAGGAATAAAATTTTCATAGGTTGAAAATTTTGAGCAGAGCCTGTGCTCAAAGGCCAGACATTCATGGTCCCATAGAAGGGGACCATGGCAGAAAAAGACAATCAAATCCTTTCACTGACTTTGGGAATGTCTAGCAGTTTGTTCAGTACACAACTAACAACTGACTCCAGCTATAGTCTCTAGCCTTTGAGTGCTGGTGTATCCTCAGTGGGACACCAAGTGGAGGAGAAAAGCATGAGAAATGGAAGAGAGGATGAGAATAGAAGTGGCACAATTTGCAAAAATGCTGTTTGTATCTGGTGTCATGATGTGATTAGTGTGTCACCATTGTGTAGTGCTTTTCACTACTATAATGAAATACCTGAGGTAAGTTACTTTATAAAGAAGGTTTATTTAGTTCAGTTTCAGAGGCTGCAAGTCCAAACAGCATGGTGCAGGCCCTTGGCTGCTTCATACCATGGTGGGATCATTTAAATATTGTGTGTCTCTATGTCTGCATGGTCTTTTCATTGTGGTGGTGGTGGGGCTCCACACTAATAATCTAATCTAATCACTTCCTAAAGGACCACCCCTAAACATCATAGTTGGATTAAGTTTCCACTCTCTTAATACAATTAACATAGTTTTGGGGGATTAAACTCCTGCATAAGTTTGAGGTGGGGGTGAGAGTAAGTCAGCAGATCAGATTTAAACCATAGCAGCATATCGTGTCTAGGGTAACTTACCCCAAACAACATGCAGTTGTCTATGATTGTTGGAGCAACTAGAATAAGGTGACAATTACAAACTGGACGATGATAGAGGGCAGTAATGATAGGCCTCAGGTCAGCAGCTGGGAGAGGAATTCCAAGGACTGAGAGTAACCTCTTGTCATTGGAAACTTCATGTGACTATTTAGCAATCAGATATTAGTTTTGCCTTCAAGCAGATATCAACTGCACCAGCTGTCTCCTTTCTTGGCAGCTACTTATGCCAGATCTTGAAGGGTATTTGTGAGGGGGACACATCAGGAAGAATCTTTCCTGGTGACCAGTAAGCTTGACATTGACTCCAACACACTAGATGGACTTCTATCTGTATGTCTTCCTTTCTCTAGGACCTTCATTCTGGATTTTGCTACTTTGATGAAGGGACAGTCATAGACTGGCCAAAGAGGAGCACAGATATTTCTCCCAAAGGTCTAGGGTACGAGGGACCTCAGCCCCATAGTCTTGTCCCATAGTCTCTCTCTGGATCCCACCTGGTTCTCTTGGCCAATTGAGGCAGGGTTCTTGTCAAGTACAGGTCAGAGCATTGTATGAGAGAGTCATTATTAGAAAGTTAAGTGTCCAGAAGACTCATTGAAAACATGGCACTCTGGGTGAACACAAGAACTTTTAATCTCATTGTTCCCTGTTCCAAGGTTTGCCTGTTCTAGGCCTTTTGTGTAAATAGATTCATAGAACATGTATGTTCCCTTTGTATCTAGCTATTTCACTTGCATGAGGTTTTAGAGTTCCACTCATGTTGTAGCATGATACATCATTTTTTATGGCTGAATATTCCATTGTATTTACATATCACATTTTGATTGATGTATATTTGGTTGTTTTACTTCTAGATTATGAATAATGCTATTATGAATCTCTCTGCACAAATTTTTGAGTGAATATTAGGTTTTTAGTTCTCTGGTTATATTTCTAAAAGTGGGGTTTTGGTTCATATGGTAATTTTATATTTAATTTTCTAAGAAACTGCCAAATGGAAATACCAGTATTATACTACCTTGATTACTGTAGATTTATAGCAAGTTTTAAAAGTGTGAATCCTCTAATTCCATTCTTTTTCAAGATTAGTTTTTCTATTCTGGGTCCTTTACATATCTCATGAATTTTAGGATCAGATTATCAATTTCTGCAAAAAATTCAGCTCAGATTTTGATGAGTATGGCTTTGAATCTATTGCTCAGTTGAGAGTATTGTCAAAATACCAACTTCCAATTTATGAACGTGAGATTTCATTCCATTTGTTTAGGTCTTTAGTTTCTTTCAATTTTTTGAAATAGTTTTTAGTCTGTAAGTTGCACCTTTTTTGTTAAATTTGTTTTCAAGTATTTTATTATCTTTGATGCTGTCGTAGATGAAATGGTATTCTTAATTCCTCTTTTGAAGACCAAAAATTGTATGTTCTCCCTCATATGCAGACATTAGATCAAGGGCAAACACAACAAGGGGATTGGACTATGAGCACATGATAAAAGTGAGAGCACACAAGGGAGGAGTGAGGATAGGTAAGACACCTAAAAAATTAGCTAGCATTTGTTGCCCTTAATGCATAGAAACTAAAGCAGATACCTTAAAAGCAACTGAGGCCAATAGGAAAAGGGGACCAGGATCTAGAGAAAAGGTTAGATCAAAAAGAATTAACCTAGAAGGCAACACACACGCACAGGAAATTAATGTGAGTCAACTCCCTGTATAGCTATCCTTATCTCAACCAGGAACACTTGTTCCTTCCTATTATTGCCTATACTCTCTCTTCAACAAAATTAGAGATAAGGGCAAAATAGTTTATGCTGGATATTGAGGGGGTGGGGGGAGAGGGAGGGGGTGGAGTGGGTGGTAAGGGAGGGAGTGGGGACAGGGGGGAGAAATGACCCAAGCCTTGTATGCACATATGAATAATAAAACAATAAAAAAAAATTCCTCTTTTGAATTAGCCATTGCTAGTGAATAGAAGTGCAACTGAATTTTTTTTTCTCGTTTATTCATATGTGCATACATTGTTTGGGCCATTTCTCCCCTCTACTCCCTACCCCCTCCCTCTCTCCCCTGCCTCCCCTCACTTTCAGGCAGAATCTGTTCTGCCCTTATCTCTAATTTTGTTAAAGAGAGAGTATAAACAATAATAAGAAAGACAAAGCATTTTTGCTAGTTGAGATAAGAATAGCTATACAGGGAGATTCCTAGCATTGCTTCCATCTATAAATGTGTTACATTCTAAGTTGATTCTTCTCCAAGTAACCTTTTCTCTAGTTCCTGATCCCCTTCTCATATTGACTTCTGTCACTTTAAAGTTTCTGCATTAGTTCCTCTGCAGTGAGGACCTCAAATACTGTCATGTTTTGGGTTTCTTAGCTATCCCCATACTTCCCGTATGTGCTCTCCCCTTGTCATGTGACCCAACTCCAATCACATTGCTGTGTTTGCCCTAGATCTAAAGTCTGCATTTGAGGGAGAACATATGCTTTTTGGTTTTCTGAGCCTGGCTGACCTCGCTCAGAATGATGTTCTCCAGTTCCATCCGTTTACTTGCAAATAAAATTTCATTCTTCTTCATGGCTGAGTAGAATTCCATTGTGTGTAAATACCACATTTTCTTAATCCACTTATCAGTAGTGGGGCATCTTGGCTGTTTCCATAACGTGGCTATTGTGAATAGTGCTGCAATAAACGTGGGTGTGCAAGTGCCTCTGGAGTAACTTGTGTCACATTCCTTTGGGTATATCCCCAAGAGTGGGATTGCTGGATCATATGGCAGATCTATGTTTAGATTTTTAAGAAGCCTCCAAGTTTTTTTCCAAACTGGTTGCACCAGCTTGCATTCCCACCAGCAGTGTATGAGGGTTCCTTTTTCCCTACATCCTTGCCAATACCTGTTGTTGGTGGTGTTTTTAATGATGGCTATTCTAACAGGGGTGAGGAGGAATCTTAGTGTGGTTTTGATTTGCATTTCCCTTATGGCCAGGGATGGTGAGCATTTTTTTGTGTGTTTTTTGGCCATTTGAATTTCTTCTTTTGAGAAAGTTCTGTTTAGTTCGCAACTGAATTTTATATGTAGATCTTGTCGCCTGCAGCCTTGCTGGACTTGTTTTACTAGGTCTAACTGTTTTGTTTGATTCCTTAGGATTTTCTGTATTTAAGATTATGTCATCTGCAAATAAAGATAGTGTTTATTTCTCTCCTTATATTCTTCCAATCTCTGCTTTCCTCCTTTAGGTTAAATAGATATTTCTATTGTACTACTTTAATTTCCTTCCTTCCCTCCTGTCTCCTCCTCTCTCTCTCCTTCTTCTCTTCTTTCCTTTTAAACAGGTTCTCACCATGAAGTTCAGGCTGGCCTAGAACTCACTATATAGCCAAGGCTGGCCTTGAACTCCCAATATTCCTGCCTCAGTGTCTTGAGTGCTGGACTCACAGACACACATTACCACACCTCACTCATTTATTTTACTATGCATGTATTTTTGAGTTATTTTCTTAATGGTTCCCTAGGGATTACAATTAATGTCCTAATCTGAAAGAATCTAATTTTGGTTAACTATCTTCTTAATTTCAATATTATATTAATATTTACTTCTACTACTTTAGCCACTCCTCCAGTCCACTAATATTTACTTCTATATAGTTGAAATCCCTCCCCCATTTGTGTTGTTCAAATGACATCATTTTGCATTGTGTGACCATCAAGAGTTTTTTGGTTTTTTTTTTTGAGTCAAGATCTGACTATGTTAACCAAGCTGGCCTCAGATTCCGGACTTAAGACATTCTCCTGCCTTAGCCTCCAGAGTAGCTGAGATTACAAACATCAATGACTGTGCTAGCTCATATTTTTAATTGCTGCTTTAAGAAGTTGAATTTTAAAGGAAATAGCAAAAAAAGGTTACAGAAATACATTTATGCTGTTTTTTAAAATATTGGCTTATGTAATTACCTCTACTGGTACTTTATTTCTTGACATTGATTCAAATTTCAGTCTACTGTCCTTTCATTTTAGCCTGAAGGACTTCCTGTAGTTTTCCTTACAGGATGTTGGTTGATGAGTTTTGTGTTTGTTTAGTCACTTTTCTGAATGAATTCCATAATGTCTGTTCTTTATCACACATGTCTATTGAAGTCTGCTCAATTAGCTCAGTGGTCAGTTCGTGATCGGCAGAGATTTTCTTAAGTGTCTGGGATCAGTAAGTCCCCCAGTCTTTCTTAAGGGGCTCTGTTTACCTGTTGGGAAATAAAATGCCACAACCTTCATTGTTCTTGGCAAGATGCAGTTTTCAGAATGAACATTCCCTGGATTGCCACAAGACTTTTAATTTTTTTTCAAAGTTTTGAAAAAGTTATTCTGACCACTCCTTACAGATTTTTGATTGCTTTTATGGAGGAGAAAATTTCAGAAGCCCATACTCCAACATTTTCATTCAAGATGAGTTTTTAAGAGTCTATGGCAACCACCAATACTATGAAAGTCTTTCCCAACTGATCTTTTTGTTTTTATGATGCAAGAATTCCTATTTCAAGCATCTATACTGTTCTTGAGGTTAATCTGGAATCACCTGTCCTTTTCACACGTCCAAGCTATGAATTTGCTTATGAATGAGAGTTGATAGAATATCCTGTGGATTTTATTTTATTTTATTTTCCCCATTTAGGATTCTGGCTCTTCAAGAAAACTTTCTTCTCCAATTTAAAATGGATGTAAGTAGTGACATTTCTCTTGATGGTTTTATGTCCTTCTTGTTTCTCTATGGATTTGGGAAGGAGAGAAGAAAGGCATTTATTTTTCTTTAGAGACCAATAAGGCTCTGAGTGGAATCAAGAGATCTTAAGGGTTATTGGTACAAAGTTTGTAAAAGTTGCCCAAGACCCTGTAAGAATTGCACAGCTGAAGTTCCAAATTGCTATGTTTTCTTCATGTATAGGCTTGTTCTACTGAAGAAAGGAAGAGAGATTTTGAGAAAATCTTTGCCCACTACGATGTGGTGAGTGTGTCTCTTTGTACTGCGCTGGGCGTCTTCAGGAAAGAAGTGTGCTTAGCCCCTGTGTGGGGTCATCCTACCCACAGGCTTTTCCCGTGCGATGAATGGCAGTTTCGCATGTGTGTTGCTATGTCAACAAACCTCAACTTCTCTTACTCTTTCACTAACTTCTGAGATGTGGGAATAAGCAAAGGATTATTTGTAGTCAAAAAGAAAATACAATCATCTGATTTTTGCTCTTTTTATACAAACTAAGAAAAAAATGTTCTTGTAGGACTAAAGATCCATTTATAATAAGATGCTCAAAAACAAAATGAAAATCCACCACATTAACCCAAAGAAATAGAAGCACTGCGATACCTGTGTGACATAAAAACTATTTCTCTTGTAGGACCAACTACACAGTCACTTTTAGGAGGGGGAAAAAATAATTCGAAATCACCAAGTATGGCAAAGGGAATGAATTTCTTGAGGCCTAGGTAGAATAATGGGAGAAGGAAGAAAAACAGGAAGAAGTTGAGAAAGGTCATAAGAATGTCTCCCTGAAGCCGATCAGACTGGATATCTGTCACATTCTGAGCAGAAAAGTGTTATCATGGGGGGCAGGAGGCCGCACAGCATCGTGGTGAAACATGTGGCTTTGTGACCTATTTCATTTTGAATCAGGACTTAGCCATGTGTCCTGGGGCAAGTTCCTTAACCTCTTAACCTGCCTGTGTTTTTTTTTTTTTTCTTTCCCTATCTGTAAAATTAGGGTGATGAGAATAATATCTACTTAATGAGTTATTTTAAGAATTAAGTATTTATAAGCTTTAATATACAGCAAGTATTGTAGAAACATTTGGTAATATGCTAAGGGAATGGAAGTTTTAAAATATGTTAAAGATTTAGGACTAAGAAAACATGAAGAGAATGGTTGAGCTACTATAGTGAACTTTAGAGAATATTTTAGAATCTGTTACATTTTATAGACATTTATGTTTGCATGGATTATAAAATGGGTAGAAAAAAGGGTCTTATATACAAATTAGATGATTATAATATATGCTTAATCAATATAGTCTCCTTTGATTTAAAGTCTGTCAGTAATCAGCAAGCCATTGTGCAGTCATAAGCAAAATTTAAAAATTTCAACCTATCCTTCAACAGATAGCATGATGTATAATTAATTTATCTAAACTGAAGCCTAGTATTTGGGAAGCAAGTAAGTCATTTAATTTCATGTCAATGCTATTTTCAAAAGTCAAGCAACTCAAAACTACTGCTTCTTACTTGGTGACATGCAGTTACTTACAAGGAATTTTAAAAATTCATGTAGGACACTCATATCCTGCATGAAGAATGTGAATTGGAACACACCATTTCTAAATTGGCCTCCAGTTAGCAAAAGAACATTGACTGGTCTGATTGCCTAATTTATTCTTTACTTCTTGACTTATGATATTTGAGTGACAGTTTTTTATCTTTCAGAGTAAAACTGGAGCCCTAGAAGGCCCAGAAGTGGATGGGTTTGTCAAGGACATGATGGAGCTTGTCCAGGTGATTTCCTGAGCTGTATAGAGTATTCACACCATGGATTGGAATTGTTATTTCCATCAATTCCATTGTGTATTTGTGGGAATGAGTGAGGCTGGAGGTTTGTTTATGCCAGAGAGAAAAACCTAGAGATGTGGTGTACTTCATAACCTTTGAGATTCTGTGAAACCAAACAAATCTCTTGCTTTAAGATTGAGTTTAAATTAAACTCAATTACAGATAGTCACTATAGAAGCATCTTTTTACCTTTATTTAAAGCTCACCTGCTTTACCAAAACAGTGTATTGCCACTATATGTCTTCCTTCCTTTCTTCCTCCTTTCCTGCCTCTCTTTGCATTGTGGTTTGAAATCAGGACATCACCCAAGGTAGGTAACAACTCTACCACTTGAGTCATGTTCCCAGCCTTTTTTTTTTTGTTTGTTTTTGCTTTTGCTTTTATTTTTCAGGTAGGGTCTCATGGTTTTTGCCCTAGCTGGGTTTGTACTTCAATCCTCCTACCTATGCCTTCTGCATAGCTAAGATTACAGGTGTTAACCACTAAGCCTGATTTGTTCTTTGAGATAGGGTCTTCCTAACTTTTTATTCAGGGTGGCCTTAAAACTTGGTCCTTCTATCTCCAACTTCCAAGTAGCTGGAATTATAGGCTTGAAAGAAATTAAACAGTTTATTGTTTTATTTTTTGATTGCAGAAAGTCCTTTCTACTTTCCTAGACTTGGTTATTAGACTAAAATTTTAAATTTAATTTCATGTGATAATTCTCACATTTGTGATTCTGAATTTTTCGAAAAGGGATTTCTGTAGCCTAAGAAGGCTACTTAGCGATTAAGACTCTGCTGTGGCTCAGGCTGATGAAATTGAGGTTATATTTACACTACACAGCTGTTTCATATAGGGTAGACAATGGTTTTAAACAGGAAATCTCCTTTAAGATCCTCCTGAACTATACTGACTGGTTGCTGCATAATCTGGTTAAGCAGATAATTTCAAAGCCCTCCTTTTCCATGGGACTCTGTGATTGTTTCCTGTTGGCCCAGATAGCAACAAATTAGAGTAGCGATTATTAGGTATTTTTGGAATCTCAGAATTCTTTGCAAATCTAGTTAAAACTATGAAGCCTTGCAACACAGAAATGCCCAGATATCAATTTTTACACAAATCTCCAGGAAGTTCCCATACTGTGATGGAACAGTCATAAAGAAAATTCTTTCTGATGTCTAATCAGGAAGACTGAGACACTTTCTATAACTTCTGACTTGCTATTCCCATCCCAATTGGTTCCTTGACTCTTTTCTCCCTTGACCTATTGCTCCTGTTGATCACAAGTCTTGGCACAACCAGAATTATTGATGGGTATTTGTGTGGTATTTCCCTCCAATTGATTACTAAGGAAAATCCATTTCACTCAGTATCTATTTAATGCCAGAATAACTGCTATAGTAGTAATCAAGCAATTATCTCTGAGACATTAGAGTTCCAAACTGAAGTTTTACTTTACTTCATGAATGGAGGGTGAGCCTGTATTGGGAGCTCCCTGGCTTCTTCTGTGAAGTGGAGCCGAGGCTAATGACTGCTTGAGTGTACAACCGGGTCTCCAGATTCTTACAGACCCCAGGCAGAAAGTCTGGCCTCCTGCTTCTCCCATGGTCTGCACATGCAGCGAGTGTGGATACCCAGCCAGAGTGAGCAGTCAGTCATTTGCTATTCCTTTCCTCCAGCTTTATCTCAAACTTGTGGGAAACATGTTTTTCCCCTGTCTGATGTGTCATTTGCTGCTGAAGAGCCTTTCTGGCATCCTACCTTTGTCAGTCTGGAGAAGGCAGCTGAGCTGTCATGGTGGCAATATCTGATCCTCCTCCTCTTATGTCACCTCATTTTATTTCCTTTTTCCTCTTTTTCTTTTCTGTGAAAAGAATGGATTGGAATTTTTTTGCAGAGCAAACAGTATAAAATGACAGACAGATGTGACAGATCTCAGCTTTAATTTCAGCTTGTCTATATTCAGATTTCTCAGTCTCTGACACCTAGTTCCTCATCCATAATATGGGCACAAGAATATCTGTTTGCCAAGGTTGTGTGATGAGTAGCATTAATACAGGCACCAATCATAGCTGGGTACAGTATGATTTCCAATAAAATATCTTTACTATTATAGTAGATTGAAGCAACTATAATCTTTGGAGCACATTTCTGAGCTTGAGAGTAGTTAACATTTGAGAGGAAATTTCACAAAAGGAATCAACTGCTCAATGTATAAACATGCCTTACTAGTGGACAATTCTGTTTGAAATAACAAAATAAAAGAGAGCTTCTAGAAGAGAGGTGTGGCTATGTTCTATGGCAACTAATTTACCATAATTTTAAAGTGCTTTCTTTTATGATTACAAAATTATGTCTGCATTTTGTAGAAAAATATCAAAAATAAAGGAAAGTAAAGGATAAGAAGCTAAGGAGAATTCAGGTTAAGAATTCAGGTGAGGCTGACCACGCTGCATTCCAGGCCTATTTTACCAGTGACTGGCAATATGATTTGGGGCAAGCTTTGAGATTTTAGCATCTCAAAACCTCAGTTTCTTCATCTGGAGGATGAGAATTTTCATAGATCCCACCTCCATAAATTTTCATTAAGATTAAAGGAGGAAATTTGCATAAGGCAATTAATATTGAGCTACTCTACTAATTAACCATAGGTTATTGAAAGCTCAATGAACATTAACTATTGTTCTGACTATATAGTGAACTGATTTAGGATCTGGCACATGGCTCAAGTGGTAGAGCACTTGTCTAGCAAACAAAAGTCCCTGAGTTCAAACCCTACTACTGCATTAACAAAACAAAACAAAAACCAAACTATCTTCCCCTACAACATGAATTGATTTGGAAGCAAATAGCATTTATAACTTTAGTTAACATGTTCTTTGCTATTTTCATATGATTTTTAAAGAGTAATTCTAGATACCCATACACAGCATAATTTTACTGGATTCCCTCTTTAAAATTATTACTTGTGGCTGGGCATGATGGCACGCGTCTGTTATCCCAGTACTGGAGAGGCTGATATAGGAGGATTGAGAGTTTGAGGCCAGCCTGGGTTATAAAAATCATACCAAAACAACAACAATAACAAAAAACCTATATCACTTTTTAATCTGATGAATCTAAATAATTTTTAATGATTCTGTCTTCTAGTTGTCACTGAGCTTGGCAATGGTTTCCAAGAGTTAATAGGAGAAGGTAGAAGTACAATTCAAACCAGAAACATAGTAGACAAGATGTTTTCCCAGAGAAAATTAATAGGAAGGGAAAATTTCTAGACTATCCAGAAAGATTTGGAAGCAGGGGTCAGCCTCACTCTTTGATAGGCTTATATCACCTTTATAGGAAATCAGAAGCTTCCCACAACTTCTGTCCTTCCATCTTTGCTTCCTTGGGGCTGCTGGGGGCAGTAAAGAATCACCTCTCACTGTTAGCATAGCCATTCTAAGGACAGGCTAAAAGTGCTCCCCAAATGATTTGTTGAACTAAAAAGCATGAGCACATACTTTTAGTGTTAACTTATGAAGCCTTATAACAGAGGGTACAAACCTTTCTTGTGTCTTTGCTAGATTTTATTGGTTCCTAGTCTTCCAGGTTTTAGAAAAATACATTCCCTATGTAATCCTGGCTACATGGGAGACAGAGATGGAAGGATCACTGTCTGACACTGGTCCTGGGCAAAAATGCATGACTCTATCTAAAAAGAAACAAAAGCAAAATGGATGGGAGGCCTGGCTGAAGTGGTAGAGCCCTTGTCTAGAAAGTGTGAGGCCCTGAGTTCAAACCCTATTACTGCTCAGGTGTAAAAATTTACTGTGTAATTTGAAGGATGTAGTCAATTGATAACAATTTCTTGGCTTTATAAATAGTCTTCTCTTGTGACATTTTCTTTATTTTCATTTTATAAGAAAAGGTCTCAGGGAAAGTAAACAAACCGGTTTCTGGGGCTGATTTTCAGACAAGGTCAGAACACACCATAGGGTCAGCAGGGAGCTGCTTCAGTTTCTACATTGACAGTCCCAGGTCAGTTTCCTTAAGCTTTGCAGTAATAACCCTGAAGTGAACTTATTTCTTTATGCTTTTGATTCTTGGGTGACAATATTTGATGTATAGGTCAACTTCATATTAATATGGCTCTTTAGCTACCAGAACATCCCACTCCCCAACCTTTGGAAAATGGCACTCAAATATGTCCTCTGCCAGTATGATAGACAGCACATCCTGAGGAAACAGACACACTTATTTTTCACCACTTTATTAAGATCAAATTGACATTTTAAGTGTCAACTTAATACATATCATTTGACGTGTTTGGAGATAAGTATACATTCCTGAAAACCATCATCACAATCAATGCTACAAACTTTATCAACTGCAAAACCTTCTGGAGGACCATGCTTTTCGTTTCTGTTTTTCCTTTTTGTGGTAATAATATCTACTACCCTCTTAGCAAAAACAATACAACACTGCATTGTTAATCATATGCATATAGTTTTTGCATTAGATTGTTAAGAGTTTACTCAGCATAGCATAAGAATCTACAACTTAAACCAGATAGTGAAAAGGCAAGAAATTCAAGATCTCCCTGGGAGAGGTAGTGTGAACAATGATAACATTGGAAGCCAAATAAATAGGCTACAAGAGATGAACCAGATGTATCTGATGGAAGGGGGTGAGAGTTCTGCCCCCAAGCCTCTCTGAGTCTTTCTTTTCCCTGATAAGCACCATCTGGCCTGGAAGATGACTGGCAAGAGGGGACACTACCCAACCTAAATGATTGAATCTAACGTGTATCCTTGCAAAAAACTAGCCCTTAACACAAATGCTTCTTTTCATTTTTAAATTGTAAAAATGATTCATACATCATAGAGAGATCTTTAAATCAAGAAAAGAAAGGAACAGGGTAATCTTTCTACTCTAACAGACTCGCTATGAACTGACTTTTCTAGTATGTATATTTTGTATGTAGTTGAGATAATACCAAATAATCACTTCCCAGTAATAGCCATCCAGTGATCACACAATATTTCACCTGCAGTTTCATCCTAATGTAGCTAAACATTTCCCTGTTGCTAGTCATTTAGATGGCTTCCCATGTGTACAATTCAAAGTAGTACTGTAATGGATTCCTTGTGCATGAATCTGTCTCTATGTTTGTCCTTGGGCCAGGAATAGAATTACTAAGTCAAGGCTTTGAATACTTTAAAATTCCTGGCACCCAGATTTTAGCAAATTTGGCAAAACAGATATCCTTCCTCCAGCTCTGCTTTCCCTTCCCTGGCCACTCAGAAAACTATTTTGACGCAGACCTGTCAAGGAAGACAAGAGTCTATATATATATATATATTTTTCTACTTTGATGATAGCGAATTAATGTGCTGTCATCCCTTGGACAATAAACAACTTTTAAAATTTACTAAGGTTTTTTTAGAGACAGGGTATTAGTACATAGCCTAGACTGGCCTCAAACTCACTATTCTGTTATCTCAGCTTCCTGAGTGCTGAAATTATTGGTGTGCACCACCACAGGTGGCTCTAATAACTTTTAAAAGAGGGGATGGGTGGCAAGAGGACCATGTAATCCAAAAGTGACTAACAAAAATATATTGGGTGCTGTAGGAACTAGTCGTGGGAAGAGAGTTGGAAGGCTGACAGTTGGAACTTCTCAAATTCCAGCATAGCCCCTTGTGAACATAATTCTGAGCAGACTTCCTATATCTGAGCAGGTATCTCCAGTTGCCTAGGAAAGTAATCCCAAGGAATAAAAAAATGTCACTATTTCCATTTTATATATCAATGGTAGGTGATGGTTAGAAGAAATGCAGGATGGGAGTGGCCTTGAATGTGTATTTGTTATCACTGTTTCAAGCAGAGACTGTGGGCCACTGGACCTGGACCCATGTGTCATGGCATGAAATCTTGACTTCTGCCTGTGACCTTGGCATCTTTAGACACTAGTATAGCCAATAAATAGCAAAGTAGAGACAGAACACATAATTGTGCAGTTAGATAATAAAGTTCTGATAAACATTTCAATTGGCAGAGAGTTATCACAGTGAATCACAATGAAGTGTGCCACCACCTTCAAAATTTGAATTCACTTCCTCAAGTGGTTAGAATATGGTGCAGGCCTCATAGTAGTGATGATGCCTCTAGGATGGAGACATCCCATTCTGGTTAATGAAGAATAGGACGCTAGCATTCATTATTTTAGGAATATTGGAAAGTCCAGGAAAGGGAAGGCTTGTGATAAAAGTGTGAAGACTACTGAAGGACAGGGTCACTCAATGATTCCATTGACTATGGCACTGGAGTAAGAGGACCAGCCCCTAAAGTTTCCTGACCCCCCACCAATTCCCAGGATTCAAGGCAGGGGGGCAGATAAATATTTTTAAATCAATTATCCTAGATCCACTCTCATGCCTTATCATAAAATGGCTTAGAAAAAATTATGTTTTTACAGGAATGTCTATGATAAAATGTAGGTCTGCCTGCCTGAGTTTATATCTTGGTTCTGACATGTGACAGCAGGCAGTTAATCTCTCTGTGCTTTAGTTTACTTATCTCTAAGTATGAAACTGGAAACAACCTTATTTGGCTTTTCTGAAGAGTAGAGTAGAGCCCTTAGATCAAAATCCACATGCACTTAAGTTAGTGACTTTCTATTAAGACTGATGGATTCAGGTGATTTGTCTTCAGTGGTTCTTGCATTTTTGAGTGTCGGCATTCAATTTTCCTGGCTCATAGGTTTCTCAGAATAAAAAATATAACTTGATAGGTCCAAAGAAATTTCCCTTACATCTTCCCTAGTCTTACTTAACCCTTTCCCTCTCCCCTCCCCCAGTTTCTCATTTTCTTGAAGGAAGTAATTACTTTGGCAGGAAACAAATTAGAAAAAAGCTTAGAATAGTTTGAATGAGATAAAGTGGCAAATTAAATTAATTTTTGCTAATGTATAAATGACTACTACGTGCGTCTGTTATAAGAGGAAGGAACACTGCGGCAGGGTAGCATTAATTGAAGAAAATTTCAGCGTTTATTGTAGATGCTGAAAATGGAACTGTATACGGTGATGCATGCCTGTTGATCCCAGCTACTTAGGAGGAAGAGGCAGGAGGATCATGAGTTCAAGCCCAGGCAAAAGCAGTTAGACTGTCTCAAAAACAAAATGCAAAAGGGCTGGGGGCATGGCTCAAGTGGTATAGCACGTGTAGGAGGTCCTGGGTTCAAACCCCAGTATGGCTAAAAAAAAAAAAAAAGCTGAGAACCAAACGCCCCCACTTTGCAATTATACAACAAATGGGTGCCTAACCTAACAGAGCCACACCTATATTTGCCTGATACTGGCACCCAGGAAACTATCCTCTGTGAGCCACAACAAAGGGTACCTGTTGACAATGCTCACATCTTGGCCCTGCAGTCTAACCACTCAGGCATCTTTGACAGAGAAGTTGAGAACTTGACTTTCTGGTCCCTGACTCCTCCTCCTCCTGACATCTCACAGAACCCTGCCTCACTGTGTTTTTTCTTCCTGCTCTGCCATTTGGCTCTGCTGCTCTCTTTCCTCCTTCCCCATTTAAAGCTTGTGATCAGGGACAGATTTGGTGTCAGTCATTTACCCTGTTGGAAAGTGCAAATTAGTGTGCCGAGTGCAGTTCTCTAGTTAAGGAGGGAAAGGTTTTGTTCCTCACTGAAGAAATTTTTAAAGAGGTTTCTTTGGAAGCCAAGAAATCTTAGGACTAGAGTTGGGGGATGGGGAACACTTCCCAGGGGCCCTAAAACCAAACCCTGCAGGCAGCTGTTTTTCCTGTCATAAAACCACTCCAGTAATCAAGGAACTTAGAAATCTGATTAGTTGGGTTTTCCTTTCTCTCTGAACACTGACTTTGTAATTCAAGTTCATCATTCTCATAGTTTCGTCAGGCCAGCCACGTCTAGAACTGTTGAAGTAGTACAATGAGCACTTCACTGGAGTTAGAAAACCTGGGATAAAAATTGCTGCCCAACTTTCTAGTTTGACAAGACTAAGAGCCTCTACTTTCCAATCTGTAGAAAGAGGCATAATGACTTCCCTCCCTGGTTTAACATGAGATTTAAAGGAAATTCAAGGGAGAGATCAGTTCAAGCATTACTTAAATTTTGCAGGTCTTTGAGCTTAAAATCTTTCCCTCATTAACATGCATGATTTCTTCTTAGCCCTTAAGACAGCATGTGGACTAAATCCTTAGTTCCTAGTTCAGCAATATAATGTTTTAGGTAGTTTTTCATTCCATGTAACTCTTCTTCAAAATAAACAACACACTCAAGCATGAAATGTGCAAGCAAGAAAGAATCTGTACTTTGAGACAAAATATCTTTATTATGGTTGCTAGTAAGACAGGTTTTCTGCAAGAACCATTGGAAAATGATGTGGAAATAAGCTTTTTTTGGGGGGGTCTGAAGGTTGAGGCTGAGAAATGAAATGAAGCTCTTGGCAGAAAACATGCCCTTAGTGGAAGGAGGTGACCCTTGGTTCCACATGGCCTATTCTCTCCAAAGCTCTCTCCAAAGGCAGGGTAACCTCTAAGCTTAGAGGGCATCAGGGAAAGCGCTAAAAGTGAAACTGCCACTGGCTGTCCATTGACACTTTCCTTTTGTTGTCCTAGCCCAGCATCAGCGGGGTGGACCTTGACAAGTTCCGGGAGATTCTCTTGCGTCACTGCGATGTGAACAAGGATGGAAAAATTCAGAAGTCTGAGCTGGCTCTGTGTCTTGGGCTGAAAATCAACCCCTGATCCCCATCTACTTTGCCTTTTGCTCTGGTTGTGTCTCTGCGCTTCTTGTTGGAGTTGTATTTGTGCTTTGCTGTTGGTGGTGCAGTGGGTATTCTTGGGCAAGGGGAGGGGACTCTAGGGCCTCTCCTTCCAGTGGCAGGGCATAGTCCTGCCTCACTGAAAGTCCCATCCCCAGCCCCCAAATGAAGCTTCTGTGATTTCCCCTTAATTGTGGGCTTGTGTATCCACTGAAAGGCTCAGCTAACCTGTTAAATCTGCTCTGCTTGTCCTTCCTTTGTCATCAGGTGAGGGGACAGCAGCAGCCAAGTTCATTGTCTTGTGCTCTTCTTGTGGACTTTCTGTCACGTCTACAAATAGATTTTTATGTGGTCATAAATCTGGAGTTGAGAATAAAGATGTACTGGTAATTGCTTTTTTGTTGTGACTTTTGAAATATTCTCCCTGATGGTCTGACAGACAAAAACACTTGTCTCACTGGGATGTGGGAAGTGGAGAAGGAGAGGGAGGGGCAACATTTTAAAGGAACCCACTGACTGCCAGGGGAGCTGGCATGATGACAGGAGTTGCAATCAATCACTTTTCATTGGTTAAGAAGACCAGAACCCTCGTCCTGGACTAGATTTTGTTCTTACGTGCGTGGTGAGCTCACCTGGTCAGGCAGGAAGGACAACAGATGAAATCTGGAGAGAGCTTTCCCGGAGATTAGGGTTGTGGATCAAGTGATAGAGCATTTGCCCACCAAGCACAAGGCCCCAAATTTAAACCCTAGTACTGTAAAAAAAAACACTTTCCCAGGTAACCTGACCACTTACTCCCACTCCATCCCTTCCTTTTCCAACAGGATCTGCAAGTTAACTGGTGACTATTGAGGCTTCCTTGACCTCAGCATTTCCTGTGGGTGCCTCTGTGTGTTCCTGGCCCACATGCACCCCTGCTCCCTTCACTCCTGGAATGTTGACATGATCCCCTTAACAGGGGGCTGCTTCCTCCTGTGGCAGGGGCAGAGACTGATGTGAGGGTAGATAGGCCTTTCTTTTACTGCCTGACACTTCATCTTCCATAACATCTCTGCCTTGTATCAGACTGTGCAGCAGTTTCCAGCTTCAGGAAGTATTTTTAGATAATTCAGAATAATACATATTAAAAGCTGATCATAACCCAAGAATTCCATCATTCACAGAGATTCCCTTAATTGGCACATTGATTCTCTTCTCTCATGTCTTCCTCACCTCCAGCATACAGATTGATAGTTAAGAATTATTATCTTGACAGGTATGGTGTTGCATGGCTATAATCCTAGCACTTGGGAGGGTGAGGCAGGAGGATCACAAGTTCCAGGTGCCAAAAAACAGAATCTGGGGATGTAGCTTAATGGTGAAGTGCTTGCCTAGCATGTGTGAAGCCCTGGGTTTGATCCTCACTGCACACACACACACACACACACACACACACACACAAATCCCTGACAAACAAAAACAAAAAACGAAAAAACCCTACTATTAAAATTAGTTTCTGTGTGCCAGGTGTGCCTAGGTGCTTTTCATACAGTAATTAATCCTCACCTAATCTCTGTGATGTAGGTCCTCTCATGATACCCATCTTAGAGATAAGAAACTAAGGCAGATAGAAGCAAGATCTATCCTTTATCATACCTCTTGGAAGTGGGGATTCTGGAATTCTTGCTCCAGAACGCATGCGCCTAACCACCATGTTAATTTTAACCCATTTTTGTGTACATTTCTTGAACCTCACTTCCCCTCGCAGGTTTGGTCTCCCTGTGAGATCCAGAGGACATTTCTGCAGGTCCGTTTCCATCGTCCTGGGGTTACAATTCATTGGTGCTTAGAGAGTCCAGGAAACACAGGCCAGCAGGCCAGCTTCCTCTCAGGCCCCATGGTGAATTAACCATGGGCACGCTCCCCCACCCCCAAAAGGACAAACATTCATCTTCAGAGTTGAAACTGTCTAAACTCACATGAAGAAAAAAAGAAATCCCTGTCTTCAGATGCCACAGTATCCTGCAGAGCACTGATAGCTCTTCTTAGTTTGTTCTGTTGTTAATGTTTTTAAGTAACAGAAATCCTTCATTTTACTAGAGTTGGATTTTATATTTATTATAACACTTTATGTTTGGTTCAAGAAACCCTACTCTGTCACATATGCATTATTTTCTACTTTTATTTTTTAAAACTTTATTGTGGTAACACACACACAGAGGTATGTGTGTGTGTGTAGCCTAAGATTTGCCATTTTATCCACTTTAGGTGTATAAATCAGTGGTATTAATTACAGTCTTGTGCAGCCATCACTACTAATATCTAAAATTCATTCATCACCCCAAGCAGAAACTCTTTACCAATTAAACAATTTCCAGTTTCCTTCCCCCTAGCCCTTGGTAGACTTCAATGTACTTTCTAGCTTTACAAATTTTCCTGCTCTAGATATTTCAGGTAAGTTGAACCAGATACTGTTTGTCCTTTTCTTCTGTCTTCTTTCACTTGGAATAACGTTTTCATGATCCATCCATTGTATGGCAAATAGAAGAACTTCATTCCTTTTCAAGGCTGAATTATATTCCATTGTAATAGAAAATCCTTATTTTGTTTATACATTCACCTGTTGATGGACATTTGGTTTGTTACCACCTTTGGTTAGTGTGAATAATGCTGCAATGAACAATGGCACATGACCATCTGAATCACTGTGTAATTCTTTTGTGTATGTACCTCAGAGTGGTATTGTTTGCTTTGAGGAACTGCCAAACTTTTCCCCATAGCTGTGACATTTTACATTCCTGCTAGCAACGTACAAGAACTCCAGTTTTAATCTAAATGGAGCTCTTTTCAGAACTGCCAGAAATAGGAATATGGACCTGAGGCTGGCCGTGTCAAGTCATTACTCTTTCTTTAGCTGCACAAAGTAAATCTTTGGGGCTACTGCTTCAGCAGTGGGTGCACTAAGTTCTTAGCGAGGGGTCTTCATTCTCTTTGATGGCTATCTGGAGGTGGTGAAGGTAGGTGGGTGGTGAGGGAGGTTGTATTTGTTTAGGAAAGATCCATTAAGGGCAGCTACTTGCAAACTTTTACACATGGCATGCGCAGTCACAGCCTTAGGTTGGCAAAGACATTGTCAAACACATGAAGAAGAGTCAGGTTAGGATCTTTAAGTAGAAAAGAAGTGGGTTTTCTACTCAAGGAATGAATTCATTTAGAAACATTCTCAACAGCTTCCACCATCTCGTCCTCTACTTATAGGTGTTGATGTATTCATTACAGGATGGTCAAGGAAGATAAACGGCTTTAGGCTTCTGTTGAAAAACCAGAGTGTGAACAAGAAAGTGAAGGAGTTTCTAAGTCTCTTATCAGAGTCCATGTTATGTATATTTGATGGGCTGGTAATGGTACCCTGAGACGTGTGCTCTACTCCAAAGATGTTAATTCATTCATCCGGCAGATGCTCATTATGAATTAGTAAAGGGCCAGGCAGTGTGGCTCACAGCTCTAATCCCACCTACTCAAAAGGCAGAGGTAGGATCATCACGGTCAGAGGCCAGATCTGAGCAAAAACGTGATATCCTATCCAAAAAATAACTAAAGCAAAAACGGCCGAGGATATGGCTCAGGTGATAGAGTGCCTGCCTAGCAAGTGTGAGGTCCTGAGTCATTATTAACGAAATGTCATTATTAATGAAAACTGGTGACATTAATCATCACCAGTTTTTTAATGAAAATATCCCAACTCATTCACATGCAGAGCCAGCAGTTACTACTTCAGAGATTTGAAGGAGAGTCACTAAAATAAATTCATTTTTATGTCTCAATTTCTTCCATCTATAAGATGTTTCATTTTGACCTACACAAAGTGAAGCTACATTTTTCTCCTAGTTTTTTGTGTACAGATGGAAAAAGAAAGCTTGAGTGAGAGAATATTGTACACATGGTGGGAGGAGGGAGAACGAAAAATCATTTGTGCGGAAATCCTCGCTTGGTACACTTTGTTTTTTTATAAAGCGGTGTCATTCTGAGTCAGCATTGATTACTACATGCACAATTACAGTAATCCACAGGCAAGCGTTAATATTACTAATGATATCGCTTTGCAAAGTGATTATCTAAGAGCCATTCTCAGCTGTTACATCAGGATTACAGCATTTTTGTAACTCCAAATTAACCCAGAGATGGAAAAAGGCAGCATTTGTTGAGTCAAAAAGAGTTGTTGAGGAGGGCAGCCTGCAATTAGATCAAGCATGCTGTCACCAGCGGGGCTGGCAGGCCTAGTTCACATGCTGGAGGCTGGGGATGACCTTTAACAGATGCAGATTCTCAGTAAAAAAACCCTCAATCCTAGAGTAGATACAAATAAAGCTTCATAGCTTCACCTTTCCACCTCCGCTTTGAGAAGCATTTTCTGGGCTTCCAAAGGTCATTGTTGAGATCTCTTAACCAAAAGAGCCAGCCCCAGTTGTGAGCTCGTGCTTGGCTAGCCATGGGTAAATTCAACCCAAATCAATCACTTTTACTAGTCAATTGAACATTTTCAGGGAATTTTCCTTTTGAGGGGGGCAAGAAGACTTTATTTTCTAATATTTTGCTTAGTATTTTGACCTTAGCCAGGTTTGCAGTCTTCTGAACCCAACAGGTCACTCCTAATATGGAAGATTCAGGTAACTGAGGAACACATAACTGCAGTAGAGACAGGCTCACTTGCAAGTCAAGGCTATTTGATGTATTTCAGGGAACTTTCCCTCTCTTGCCCCATCCTATCTCTGGCAGCAAGCTAAAGAATAAACTTGGCTTTATGGAAGCCTTTAATTATTGGCACACTCAAGTTCACAGAAATCTTAAATGGCTTCCTATTGTCTACAAATTTCATCTCTGGTAGATTTACAACTCACTACGAGACCATATTTATGGTATTCTGGGAATACAAAAAGCTTTAACCAGGTTCTTCTGTTTCTAGTGGGTGGTCTCAGAAAGACCCTGGTCGATAAAATCTCAGGC